ATGTTTACAAATACATTTACAAATTGTGTTATTGACATTTTTGTAGAAAGCATAGTCGTACCAGTCTTCCCAGTTGGACTTTAATACAACTAAAATGTAGTTGAACTAGTTGTACTTGAAACGAGTGGTACTATTCGCACCAGTCGTACCAGACATATTAAACGCGGAATATAGAGTTGTACTAGTGGTGCCTAGTCATACCTGATAGAAATAACATGGATACAAGTCTCGGTCATACAAAGTTGCACACATAGTTCAAATAATTTAAAACAAAGACATAAATTACTCTTCACTTCCATCAATCCCAAACCATTGAGCCCAGCGTCCACCTCTCCCTCTTCCTCTTCCTCTTCCACGATGTTCTCCAGCTGATGGGAATCTTTTCTGTTGCGGTTTTCCATTCTTTACTTCATATTCCGGAGGTAAGACTTTTTGTGCTTGTATCTCTTCAGGTACAATCCATTCAGACATATGAAGAACTGGATAGATTGTCCTGGAGTATGCCAATGCCCATAGCTCTACCAAATAATATTTGGAGCAAAACTCTTGTAGATAAAGTTCACTATCTCTGCTCATATGGATGGCAGCAGCAATTGCATGCACACATGGGTATCTATCTATATCAAAATACTTGCAAGAACAAGTTTTCCTAGTCATATCAACCAAATAATTCTTCTCATCAAGCCCAATCACATTGTATTCGTGGAGATAGCTGTTTAACTCTTGCACCATGAGTTTATTTGCATCCACACATCTCAGATCCATTTCGTTCTCCACGGAAGGTACAAGCTTCTGTGACAGTGGGACTTCAGCAGCACTCTGCCTATGGGTGTTCCACCATTCAGCCAATTTGGCAACAATTACATCAATCATTGGCAACAGCGAGTACTTTCTTGCGTTTACAAAAACACCATTGATAGATTCTACACTATTGGTGGTATCTATGTTGTACCTTTCTCCTGGAAAATAGCATTTTGCCCATTTTTTCTCATCAACACTTTTGTCTAGATACTCGGCAGCAGATGGATATTTCATCCTAAAAGCACTATAGAGTTTTCCGAACTCAACCTCTGTATAAGCTTTAGCGCACTCGATGAACTTCTTCGCACATGCATCTTTGTGGGTGGCAACGTGTCCTTTCACATTTTGTGACAAATGCCTTACACAATACCCGTGTTGAGACAGAGGGAACACTTCCCTTATTGACTTGATCAAGCTTGGATTCCTATCCGAAATAAACACCATTCCAAGGACATCTGGTGTTACTGACTTCAACTGATTCAGAAACCACGTCCAACTTGCATCTTTCTCACCATCAACTACACCAAAAGCAATGGGATAATGATGATAATCAGGATCCTGAGCTGAAGCGACGATTAGAACTCCACCATATACGTTCTTCAGGTGGGTTCCATCTATAATGATGACTTTTCTCATCGGTAGAAACCCTTCTATGCAAGCTCCCAATGCAAAGAATAGGTATTTAAACCTTTTCTGCTCATCTAATTCCACACAAGTCCGTGTACCCGGATTCACTTTCTCTAGCATGTACAAATAAGAATATAGCCGCCGATAACTCTCCTCAGAACTTCCCCGCACCTCATTAGCAGCTTTGTTTTTTCCTCTCAACGTTGTTGAGTATGATACTTTCACGCCAAGCCTGCCTTGAACCATATTGATCAGCGTTTTTAGATATGGTGTGTTGAATCGACCTGGATAGTCTTCAGCCATAACAGTTGCAACTAAGTGTGGTGTGCCTTTTCTTTTTTGTCTGATTGTACTTGTAGTAACCCGAGAGCATGTGTGCACCTTGTTGTAAGTGACAATAGTGAAACTATTTGAGTTCATACGCACATAAGCTCTTAAACCCCACTTGCATCCCTCTTTTGCTCCCCAACATTTTACCACGAAACGTGTGGGATCAGACTTTTTCGTTTCATACTCAAAACCATTCTCATGTGCACCTTTCTGCAGGAGAGCTTGCAGTCCCTGCCTAGTGTCAAATTCTTGACCTTTATATATATCTAAATCATCTTCCCATCCATGACTTACTTGCGAGTTTCCATCAGAATGTCTGACTTCTGTATCATCATCATACACGAGCTCATATCTTTGTAGAGGATCTGTATCATTTTCTTGCATCTCATTGTCTGGCATTTCATTGTCTTGCATTTCACTGTCCGGTATTTCTAAACCATCTCTAGCGGTAGAAAACATCTCATCATTACTTGGACCTACATCAACGTCAACTCCATGATCCTCTCTTGAAACATGCACGCTTCCATGACTTTGATCAACATCCCTGATGAACTCCACATGTAGAACACTTCTACATTGATCCTTACTCATTTGTAGTAGATAACCAAAAACATTTTCGTCATTCCAAATATATGATGGTTTCTTCATGTTCAAGACCATTGGATAGTAACTAATTTTCAGCTGAGATGTAGCTGCGTCTATGAAAACCTTTCTGCAAATTCCCTCCACTAATCCAAGACAAGTGACATCCTCCAAAGATTTCCTCATCACTAAAGTGTGAATCTCATCTTCTACAGAATTACAAATAACTTTATCACCATCTTTTGAATAGAACCCCCCATAATCAAAACATATGACTGTGCAACCACTGCTACTCATTTCCCCTGAAAAGAACAAAATAATCGTAAGGTAATCTTATCATAGTTGTACCAGTTTTACTAGTCGTACTTAAGATGTCCAGTTACGCTAGTTGTACCAGTAGTACCCAGAAAGTTTGGTTCATCCTAGTCGTACTAATTCACTAAATATGTCCAGTTGTGTTACATGTACCCAGTAGTACCTAGAAATTTTGGTTAATTCTAGTCGTACTAAATTCACTTAATATGTCCAGTTATGCTAGTTGTACCCAAAAAGTTTGGTTGATCCTACTCGTACTAATATGTCCAGTTGTGCTAGTTGTACCCATCAGTACCCAGAAAGTTTGGTTCATCATACGAATCATCACTAGTTTTTACGATTCATTGCTCAGTTAACCAAGATATCATATTCAATTAAAAATATCAGTTTCTAATAGCCTTACCCAACTAGCTCAGCAGCTCCAATGAGCAAAAAAAAAAATCAAAATTTTCTTTACTATGAAATTCTCTAATTGAGAAGAAATTATGTATTATTTGCTCTGCCTATGACATAAACTTGATAAATCAATCAAGAAATCTAAAATAGTATAAGAAACAGCAACAACTAACCTTCAATTTCACGCCTCTGATTTTGTCAATGGTGGAAACATGAGAGGAAGAAGACGACGAGGGAACGACAAGAGGTGCAAAAATTTTGGTGGTTGGTTTGGTTGGTTTAGACAATTAATTTTAGGTTGGTTTGAATTAAATTTCTTATCAAACCACCCGAAATTCTTTTTTATTTTTTTTCGATTTTTTTTGGTTTATTCATTAAGGAGTAAACAGTCAATTCATTGCAGAGAGGGGCAGTAAGATTAGAGGGGGGGGGGGGGCAGCTAGATTTTCTTGGCTGTACGGGAGATTAAAGTCCCTTTTTTTTACCATCCCGAAAGTAGTTTTTAATTCTTTCGAAAAGATGCTCCGACTAATTAATTTTTTTTCGTAATTAATTCAATTTTTTTTGTGAACCAAAAAAAAAGTTAATTCAATCATCAAATATAACGTAAAATGTACTTATTGTATCAGATATTTAATATTTAAGTTGTGTATATTTTTTGTTATGTATTTTAAATTACTAGAAACATAACATGATTATGATTTTTTAGATATATTAGGTAAATATCCGCGTTACGATGTGGGTTATTGTTTTCTTTTCTTTTTATCAAGCTGAATCGTATTTGGTCAAGAGCATAATTTGTTATATCAGCAATTTTATTTTAAACATTTTAAATCATTTTAATACAAATACCTGATTATAATATATAGTTTTATCGATTATTTTAAGATTTTTTTTTAATTTTAAACTTTTTTATCGTTTGAAAAGAAATTTTGTATCTTTTAACTTAACAAAAACAGTATGTCTCATTTTTTCTAAATTTTTTAAGGGTAAATTTTATAATAATATATTAAATAAACTATGTGTTTTTAAAAAAAATTAATAAAGATTTTAATATACTACTTGGAGAATGAGAAATAGCGATGAAGATAATCAAAATTAGTTGTTGTGATTTTTTAGTTTTTAATAATTTTTACTATTTATTTTGGTTAAATTTCAATTTAAAATATTTAATCATTTTAATATTTTATTATTGTAATTAATCATTATATATTTTGTTAAACATGAAATCTATTACAAATTTTCCAGTAAAGTCACATAAACATTATATACTTTGTTAAAGGAAAAATTAAACAAAACTGAAAAACTTGCAGATAACATGGGTAATAGAGATATAACATTGTGATGGATATAAGAAATACAAAGTTCTCCTCCTTTTTTTTTACTTTTTTGCATTGCTCTGTTTCTTACTTGACGGAGAAGTTACCCAAAGTCTTTTATTCTGTTTTCTTAATTTTGTTTTTATTGATGCTTTTGTACAAAGATGTTAAGCTAATGGCAGGAGCTTACAAGCATTCAGATTCTTCATTTCATGGACAAGGCTTATACCTAGAGGATCCTTATGAGCATAATATGAGTAAGCAGAGAGGATCTGTAGGCTTTAGTATATACGCAGTTGGGTGATCTCCTTATAGTAACTCCAAGGACGATCATATCACAACTGAAAGAGCGAAAGATTTCCTCTTTGGTTGGTGAGGACTAATAATTTTTTGTGTGGTTGTTGCTGTTTCCATAAATTTGAGGATAAAATCTTAAAAGTAAATTGAAAATCCATTCCAGGATGTTAAAGCTTCTGAGTTTGTGAGCTATCCAAATAAAATGAAAAGAATCTTGAGATCATCTGACTTTGTAGGAATTATCCACTACATGACAGTCTATATCAAAAACAATAGACCCAGACCCAGCCCACACCTTCTCTTCTTCCCATTAGACACGACTTCTATACAGTAATGGGCGTAGAGACTATATGAAAACTTACTTTTACTTCCATCATTACTCAATCCAAAAATCTTCTTAACTCTTATAGCTGATCATTCTTCTTCATTTGGATAGTCATTGAGAATTCTATATTCTTCTAGGTAAGGCCTGCAAAAATAAAATAAAAACTATAGATTTAATCTTTTACCTTGAATCTATAAATTTCCTAATTTGATTTTGTTTTTGTTTTTTGTAGTGGGAGGCTACTCCACGGGTCTTGAAAGTGTCTTGGAGTATCTGAAATAGAACTTTAACAATCCTCCAATCTACATACTTGAGAACGGTAAACTTCATTATCTTTTGTCCTATTACTCTGTTCTTTTCTTCTTGAAAGCACACTTTTGTTCTTATGATCCTTCAAATTTTCTATAAAAAAACAGGTAAACCGATGAAACATGGTTCAATACTACAAGACTTAGAAAGAGTTGAATACATTCAAGCTTACCTTGGTGATGTGCTCAACGCCATCAAGTATGATTCTCCTTCTTCATCTTTTTAATTAAATGATCTGAAATTCTTTACATGTAATTAGTGTTTCCCGGTTTAGTTCTGGTTAAGTTGACTCTCTCTGTTTTTGATTTGACTGGTTAGGAACGGATCAGACACAAGAGGCTACTTTGAATGGTCGATGATATATTTGTACAAGTTGTTGAGTGGATACATGAACAGCTATGGGATGTACTATGTGAATTTCAGCGATCCTGGTCTCAAGAGGTCTCCAAAGCTCTCGGCCTCTTGGTACTATGGTTTTCTCAATGGTACAGTTGATGTTGATCCTCAATATATTACTCGGTTGCAGAGACTAAAGTAATATTAAGGTGCTGCTTTGCCGGAGATGGCGGTGATGGAAAACGGATCAATCGCGTTGAGGCTTCTCTACATCGCCTTCATCGTTTTCTTCTATGGCTCGATTTTTTCGAACTTCATCGGATAAATCACGCGGACGCTGGATATCAAATCCCTAAGCCTTTTCTTATTTTTGGCTTTTGAATGGATTTGGCAAAAAAATGATTGGGTTTTTAATGGGTTTGGGTAAAAAAAGAATTAGTATATGATATGTATTATTAAAATGTTTTGATTGGTTTTTTATTTTGCTGATGTGTCAGCTTCTCAAAACATAAAAAATTTGATGTGTCCTTTTCTGGAAAGATACAAGGGTTATTGTTGTATTGACTAGGGATGTTTCTACGCGACGCGCAGATTATTTTTACATAGATATTTGATTATTATTTAAGTTAAATTATTTTCACTTTAAGTTAATATTTTAAATATAATATTTAATTTTTAAAATTTTTTTGATATGATTATACATCAAAAATATTTTAACGTATTCAAAAAATATATCATGATATAATTTTAAGAATTACCTTGATATATGCTAAAATTAAATATTAATCTAAAACTTAATATTTGTATATAAACTCACTGTTATTCACTACTAACTTTCAAAATATTATTAAAATTAATTTTGTTTTGACTAAATTTGATTATTATTGTTCCAATTAATTTAGATTTTTATTTTTATTTCAACTGTGTTCGTGTAGTGTTTTTATTTAATTAGCTAAAATAACTATGATTCATATAAATAAAAACAATATTTACATAGTATAAAAAATCACAATCATATTGATAAAATGCAATTTGATTTGGTCTATGAAGTATACGTAAACTATAAAAAAATATAGATGAATAAGGCAAATAATACATATACAAATATAATTTCATACTAACTCATTATGTTAAATAAAGTATGTTGAGTTTCTCAAAACTCAAAAGATGTAAAAACTTTTGCTTGTAATTTAACTTAAACATTTTTTCTTAAACTACACATATATATTTTGATGAGCCTTTATAATTAAACTAATAATATATATTATATTATTTTTAAAGGAATTTCTTAACCCAGTAAAAAAAAAACCATATTAGTTTTTTATTCAAGTTGGGTTTATAAGGAATTTTGTTGATGTGGATAACTAGAGATTTTTTTAGACATTTTCTTCTACATAAAAATGTGTATGTTATTTTTTCAAAAATGCATTATTATTTAATTTAAAAATTTACTAACTTAATATATATATAAAAATTAACTGTCATCTAAAACTTAATTTTTGTTTATAAACTGTTTAACTCATGTGTTACATGTATCGCTTGTAATAACTTGACTACCTTAAGCCAACTAAGACACACATTGAATAAATATCAGTACATGAAATTCTTCTTTTGTCTATCATTTTCTGCAATGTAAATAGTAACGATGATCGAAATCTTCATATAGATAGATGCTTTGAAAAGCTTCCTATAATTTATGTTGTCTTGTTGGTTGCCATAAATCTAACGTACTATGATGTTTAATCTGTATGTTTCTAAAAGGTGAATGTTTTAGATTTTTATAATTTGTAAATGTTTTAAATTTTATTTTAAAAATTATTATTTTGTAATCTTGTTTCTATTAACTATTATTTAAGTTTTTTAGAGCAATTTATTGTCCAATATATTCACTATATTACAAAAAGGAGTATATGTTAATGCTACAGATTTAAATGATATTTATTTTACTGATTTAAAAAATGATATTTAATTTTATTTACTTATTCCTAATAACTATATTAACTTAGCGGTTCTATTTATTTATTTTATGTGTATTTCAAAAGATATAAAGTGAAATTTTTTATTATTGTTATATTACAAACAAAAGAAGTATATATTGATGCTATAAATTTAAATGATGTTTATTTTACTGATTCAAAAAATAATATTTTAATTTTATTTACTTTTGTTGGTAACTATATTAATTTTAGTGACAAAAATGAGTATATATTAATGCTACAGATTTAAATGATATTTATTTTACTGATTAAAATGATATATAGTTTTATTTAGTTTTTGCTAATAACTATATTAATTTAATGGTTCTATTTATTTATTTTATGTGTATTTCAAAAAATCTAAAGTGAGAATTTTCATTATTGTTAATTTGTTATATTACAAACAAAAGAGTATATATTGATGCTATAGATTTAAATAATATTTATTTAACTGATTCAAAAAATAATATTTAATTTTTATTTACTCTTGTATTTAACTATATTAATTTTGGTTCTATTTTTATACTTTATATGTATTTCAAAAAAATCTAAAGTGGGAATTTGTATTATTATTTTTTGCTGATGTGTCATATTTTTAGAGTAGTTTGAAAAGCTGAGGTGGATAGCTTAAGGAGCCCCAAATAGTTCCTTTTATTTTGTATAGATTAGTAATTGGTATGAAAACAGAAAAAAATTAGCACAGTTAAAAACATTTCTCTTAAATTATTTAAAAAAAAAAAAACAGATTTAGAGAAAAATTACAACCAATTCTCTGTAGTCTTTAAAAAAGTATAGTAAAGCTTTTAAAATATTTTACGATTATTTAGAAAAAAATGGTGATATTTTTTAATCAATACAACAATAACACCAAAGTCTTTCCATGGCTTGACACCTTAGCTTTTTCAAGTTACCAGAAACTGACTCATCAGCAAAATCAACAATCTATCAAAACATTTTAATTAATATACATCATCTATTATTATTATTTTTTTTTTATTTAAACCCATTAAATTTTTTTTTTTTTTGCCAAACCCAAGCCCAAATAATAAATAACAGTAAATCAAAAAATTATATCTTTATTTTATTTTTTTGTCAAACCCAAACCCAAATAATAAATAACAACAAATAAAAAATATTTTTTTTTGTCAAATCCAAGCCTAAATAATAAAAAAAACAAATTAAAAAAATAAAATATTGTGGATATTTTAACTTCGATTAAACGACAAACTTATTACTATCGTTCATTGATGCACTGTAACGTCTTATGATTAGGATATATTTTAACATAAACTTGAAACAACAGAGCTTGGTTTTATATGTGAAAAAGTTTAGAATCATCTTGTTATTGTTGTGAAACAGAGCTGAAATATATGTCAGTAGAGATGGTAGCTAAGTTAGTACCTCAGCATGCAAGGAAGCATTGTTCTTAGCTCGGTTTGTAATTTCCTAAAAAAAACTCTAAATATAGCACGAACACATCACCATTTTTATAAATTGCATCTCTCTATCGTTCACGGTATCCAAAAATCTTATATGTACCTTTTGCTTGTTGTATGAATAGAAAAAAAAAGAGAGAGTGAGTATTGTGGTTGGTTTATAATGTAATAGCCATCAAAATATTTTTAATCAATATATTTGTATTTGTGCTTTTAAATCTTTCTTTCCTTAATATATAGTAGTAATCTCCATAAAATCATCAAAACATTGCCCACTATAGCAAATTCGTTAAAAATATAAACCGAACTAAACTGAAAAATAAATCTATAAGAATGATAAAGAAAAATAAGTGTGGCCTTTTTTTTTAACCAAACCAAGTTTTAGATTGGGCTCGTGTGAGGCTTCTTGTGTAGTCGTCGTCGTGGATCTTTTGAGGTGTTAAGCCTACATTGTTTTAGGATTTGGTTTCTCTCCAGACCCAATTTGAAATTTTATTGGAAGAGTTATAAATCCAAAACCACAAAAAAATTAATTATTTATTATTATCAATTTTTTTTAAAAGTTTCAACTGGTTATTATTCATAAGCCTTTGTAATACAAACATACAAATGTGATTTTCAGGTGGAAATTGAACCAATCTATAGTGTCTTAGTTGAGGTTTCTATTGAGTTTAGTTCGCTAGGTTAGTTTCGACAAAGACTGTTAAAAAAATTACGTAAAATAAATAACATAATAATCATTAAAACACTTAAAATTAATAATGCAGTGAAGAACTTTAATGAAAAAGATACTTATCTAATTAACAAAGTCTCAAAGAGACTAAAATATGCATAGTCATCACAAGAGATGAGAGATGGATAATCTCACTAGATCTATTCATCCAATTGTGTCATTTGACAAATTCATGTCACTCATAGTTTCAGAATCTTCATTTGACTCTTTCACTTCAAATGATAGAAAATGATCATTGTTTCGTATAATAATAATGGAGAAATGTTTTTGATTTAAGTGATATCTCTTGTATTTACACCATTTAGACTTGCATTTAGTGCATGTTTTGGTTCTCTTTTGCATGTTTTCCTTATCTTTTGTCCTATTTTCTTCTCCTTTTAGACTAGGTTGCATTTAGGATATAGTTTGCATTTTTTATGCATTATGGATGTTTTTAGGTACCTATGGAGCTATGAGGAGCATGGAGAAGCTTTGGGGATGATCTAGGAAGCTAGCTGGGCCAAGAGGAGCAAAAGAGACCAAGGCAGACGATCTCTGCGGAGCCTATCGGTCAAGACACAAGGCCTATCGGTCAAGGAGTGACCGATAGAAGGACTATCGCAGACCTATCGGTCAGAGAAGTGACCGATAGAAGTGCACCGTATGGATTTCGGTCACCCTATCGGTCATCTTCTAGACCGATAGGATCCCTATCGATCACCCTATCTGTCACAACTGACTGATAGGAACCCAGTCCGAACCTGTCTTTTGTTACACTTTTGCCATTACTTTTGGGCTTCATTCTTTTATGTATAAATACCCCTTTTTCCGGGATTTTCGAAAGTCATGTCATATCACTGTTCTTCAGTTATTTTTCAGAGTTTGTAAGACAAATTTCTTGCTTTATTTAATATAAGTTTTTATTTGCCATGAATATTTCTTTAATCTCTCTTCTAATCATGATTAGCATCTTTTCTTCTTGTGATTTGGTGTTAAACATGAGTTCGCGAGGTACCACTTTTCACACTTGGTTCTACATATTTACTTGCTTCTTTTTGACCAACTCTTGGCTTGATAACAATGGGGACAGTGTTGTTTAAGTCAGAGAGGTGGCTACTGACGTTGTGTACATTGTGTTTGATTTTTAGAGTCTTAAAGTTGAGTCAAAAACCTGTTTTATAGAGTCAAAATTTTGAAATTGTCAGTTTTTCTTGGAACTAACCACAGAACGTTGATACTTATAAGAACCACTGCCACAGTAGCTGATTACAAGTCTTACTATGTTGAAAGTCATAGGTAGAT